ATGACTATAATGTTGGCTGTAGTCATTTTTTTATTTGACAATCTAAGGGGAAAAAGATTAGTGCCCCTGACTAAATAGTCAGATTTTGCATGTTTTAAAAATTCTTGTGGTACACCAGTTGAAAATTGCTGTTCTAGGCTTTTCCCTGGACTAAGTCAAATTGGTTGAGAGCTAGAAAAGACAAGATTGTCTTGGCTCTTTGTAGAATTGTTTTAATTGTATTTTACTTTGGTGTTACGGGCTCTAGAGGAAACAGCTGTAGGAAATCTTTTGTAGTTATTATAGAGTTGTTTCTCTTTTTTAAAAAATATTTTTAAGTTGATTTCAGAGAGAAAGGGAGAGGGAAAGAGAGATAGAAACATCAATGATGAGAGAGAATCATTGATTGGCTGCCTCCTGCATGCCCCCAACTGGAGATCGAGCCTGCAACCCGGGCATGTGCCCTGACCCGAAAATCGAACCGTGACCTCCTGGTTCATAGGTCGGTGCTCAACCACTGAGCCACACCAGTTGGGCAGTTATAGGGTTGTTTCTCGATAGAGTATTCTGTGGGTTCCTTTGAAAGGAAAACAATTATTGCAGAATCTCTAATGATGACACAACTTTTTAAAAAATATATTTTTATTGATTTCAGAGAGGAAGCGGGAGGAAGAGAGAGGGAGAGAAACATCAATGATGAGAGATAATCATTGATCGGCTGCCTCCTACACACCCCACACTGGGGATCAAGCCCACAACCCAGGCATGTGCCCTGACCAGGCATGGAACCATGACCTCCTGGTTCATAGGTCAGTGCTCAACCACTGAGCCACACCAGCCAGGCTCAACTTACTTTTATTATATTCTTATGTCAGTATGTGACAACAAAATTAGGGATAAACTCCTTATGCTCAAAGCCTTTGCATAATTGTAGAACCAAGAAGATTTATTAAATGTCAAAACCAGTAAAATCAAGATTGATGTTTGTGAAATTTGACAAATTGTTGTTTCTTTTTTTTCCAAAACGAAGTCACTAATTGCAACACAGATATGTTACTGACTGCTGAATTTCAGGTTCTTTTAAATATAGCATTCCCATGTTTTATGTCATGACTGCATGTGTAGCCATATCCTTCAAATCCTTTATAGGAACAGGATGGGTTGTAACTAAAGATAATAAAATATTTCCCATTTTCAGATCATTCCTGCAACCCAAGCCTATGGAGCATCATTACACACCTGACTGCACCAACCTTGGCTCCTGCAAATTCAACTGCTCTGGTCCCTACCTCTGCTCCACCAACGCAGAATGGGCATCTTCTGGAGAGTGGGAATTTTATTGGGCTGTTAACCTTAGTTTTCTGCCTTGTGTATTCTAGGTAAGTTTAAAAATACTTACAACAAGATTCTCATGAAGGTTAATATGGGTGAAGCAGCTTTTTTGCTTTCAAAAAGTAGTATGAGGAATTTTTTAGTAACAGCCTAACTCTTCTTTATTAAAAGTCCTCGACTTGCCTCGGTTACCCATTTCTTAAAACTCATTAAATACGCTCATCAAATAATTCTTCCCAACGTTACAAAGAGATACCTTCTCATTTGTTTAGGAGGAGAAACAAATCAGCTAGAGCAGTGGCTCTGAAAATAGGTTGGCTTATCTTTAAAAACTTCACGTGCCCCAACCCAAGATCAAATCCATAACCTAGCTATGTGCCTTGACTGGGAATTGAACCTGCAACTTGTAGGATAGGTTGGGGCAGATCATGAAAGCCTTGAGTACTGTGCTTATAGACTCTGTTTTGGCCCACAACTCAGTTCTTCCAGAGCTTGTTCAGCTTTTCCCGAATGCAGGTGGGAATGGCTGCTTTTGGAAGGCTGCCGTTGTGGAGACTGTAAATTGTCTTCCTTCCAATGATTGCTGAGATGCCCCTTCCTCAGAAAGTTTTCCCATGCTAGACAGACTGCTGTGGTTCTCAACCTTCTGGCCCTTTAAATACAGTTCCTCATGTTGTGACCCAACCATAAAATTATTTTCATTGCTACTTCATAACTGTAATGTTGCTACTGTTATGAATCGTAATGTAAATATCTGATATGCAGGATGGTCTTAGGCGACCCCCGTGAAAGGGTCGTTCAACTGCCAAAGGGGTCGCGACCCACAGGTTGAGAACCGCTGGTGTACAGGATGATGCTCCAACCAACTGAGTCACCTGGCTGGGGTATATACACAATTTTATTTATATCACTTGAAATATAATTTTTAAAAATAAATTAGGGCCCTGACCAGTGTGGCTCCGTTGGTTGGGCGTCATCCATTGTACTGAAAGGTTGCTGGTTCAATTCCTGGTCAGGGCACATGGCCCAGTTGCAGGCTTGATCCCCAGTGTGGGGGTATGAGAGGCAGCTGATTGATGTATTGCCCTCACATCAATGTTTTTCTCCCTCTCCTTTCTCTCTCTAAAAATCAATAAAAATCTTTAAAAATACATAAATAAGGTAAATAAATTAGGAACATGCCATATAAATACACTTATTATTCTAAAATACGAATTTGTCATTATAATCTGGACAGCTTTCTATAACATTATGTGTAGATTTACCTGTTTTGTTTTGTTTTAATGATTGCTTAAAGTGGGGATTGGCAAACTGCAGCCCTAGGCTGCCTGCCTATTTTTGTTAGTAGTTTCTGTGAAACACAGCTATACTCATTTGTTTTCATATTTTTGTTTGTTTTTCTTTTGGCCTTTTCTTTTTTAAAGATAAAATTCACATACCACAAAATTCACCCTTTAAAAACGTTCAGTTCGGTAGTTTTTAGTATATTCACAGAGTTGTACAACCATCACCACAGTCAATTTTAACATTTTCCTTGCCTAGAAAGAAAACCCATGCTCCTTAGCAGTCACTCCCATTCCCCCTACCCTCCTGTCCTGGCAGACAGTCATCTCTTTTCTGTTTCTAGATTTGCTTTTCAGACGTTTCATATGCGTGGAATCATACACTATATGGTCTTGTTACTGGCTTCTTTCACTTAGTATGTTTTCAAGGTTCATCCATGTTGTAGTATATGTCAGTCTTTAATTCTTTCTGTTGCTGGAAATAATATTCATTGTGTGATAACACTACATTTCATTTACCTATCCATTCATCAGTTGATGGACAGTTGGATGTTTTAAACCTGCTTATTTGTCTTTTTATTGTTTTTGTATATGGTTTGAGGTATTGGGGTCCAACTTCACTCTGTTGTATGTGGATATCCAGTTGTCCCAGACCATTTGTTGAAAAGACTATTCTTTCCCCATTGACTTATCCTGGCATCCTTGTCAAAAATCAGTTGACCATAAATGTAATGGTTTATTTCTTGACTCATAATTCTACTTCATTGATATGTATGTCCATCCTTATGCCAATACCACTTTTTTAATTACTGTTGCTTTGTAGTAAATTTTAAAATTGAGAAGTGTGAGTCATCCAAATTTGTTTGTTTGTTTTTTCAAGATTGTTTTGGCTATCCTGAGTCCCTTGCATTTCCATGTAAATTTTAGGTTCAGCCTGTCAATTTCTACCAAAAAATAAAAAAGGTAATTGGGATTTTGAAAGGGATTGAGTTGAATCTGTACATGAACTTGGAGAGTATTATCATCTCAACAATATTAAGGCTTCTAGTCCATGAACATAGAATGTCTCATTTAGGTCTTTAATTTCTTTCAGTGGTTTATAGTTATTAGTGTACAAGTCTTAAATTTCTTTTGTTAAATTTTTTCCTAAATATTTTATTTTTTTGATGACATTGTAAATGAATTTTTTTCTTGATTTATCTTTGAGGTTGTTCATCGCTAATATATAGAAGTAGAATTAATTTTTATATATTAATCTTGTATCCTGCAAGATTGTTTATTGATTCTAAGAGTGTGTATTCCTTAGTACTTTCCATATACAAGGTCATATCATCTGCCAATAGAGATCATTTTATATCTTTTTTCCCAATCTGAATGCCTATTATCTTTTTCTTGCCTAATTGCTCTAGCTTGAATGAGAATATAGTATTTGTCTTGTTCCTGATCTTAGAAAAGCTTTTAGTCTTTCACTATTACAATTTTAGCACTGGGTTTTTCATAAACGCCCTTTATTATTTTGAGAAAATTTTCCTCTATTCCTAGTTGGAGTGCTTTTGTTATATTAAAAAGGATTTTGTCAAGTGCATTATTTTATGTCTCTTGAGGTGATCATGTAGTTTTTGTCCTTTATTTATATGTATTTTGTTATTGGGTCATTTAACAAACTTTAGTGAGCATCTGTTATGTGCCAGAAAGCATAGATGACTAAGGTCATTGTTGTTAAGGAGTTTTGTGAATAGCAAGAAAGACAGGAATGGTAAGTGCTATGGCAGAGGGAAGCATAAAGAGCTGTGGGAATTTAACCCAGCCTAGTGATGGGGTGATGTCAGAGAAGGATTTCCAGGGGACATGGCACATAGCCAGAGAATTGAAGGATAAGTAAGTTAGCTGGGAGAAGGTTGGAGGGTGGTACCTTCTAAGATAGGAGAGGTATGTGTGAAGTCATGGAAGTAGACATTGAGAGCATAGTATGTTTGGGGAAACTCCTAAGCAGTTAAACCATCAAGTACTAACTGGTAAGAGTACTGTCTGTCTTGTGATGGCAGGCACCAGTTCAGAACTTCAAGCAGGGCCTTTCAGCCCGTCAGTCCCCAAAGTAGGAGCAGTTCAGAAATAACTTTCATGCATATAAGCCAATGGCAGCAGTTCATCTTCATGCCCATTTCTGATTTGTTTTCCTTGGGATCACTTTCTAGCTTCCGCACGTCTACCAATAGCCAGGTAAGTAAGCTGACCCTGTCAGGAAGTGAAAGTGTGATCCTCCGTGAAACATCTACCAATGGTGCCAGCGACGAAGAAGAGGGACAGCCTCGGCGGGCTATGGACAACGAGAAAGAGGGAGTTCAGTACAGCTACACTATGTTCCACTTGATGCTCTGCCTGGCTTCCTTGTACATCATGATGACCGTGACGGGCTGGTACAGGTAGGAGGCTCAGACAGCACAGATGGAGGATCACTTAGCCTCCTTGGGCCGACCTTAAAATCTCCATCCATTTTCCTGACTTTAGAATCCCCTTCTCTTACCTATATAACAAGTTGTGTTCGGTGCTGACTCTTTTCTGAAATAATTTTGACTTTTTCTCCTCTTGGATTTAAAATCCAGTTGGGATTCTTACAGTGCAGATTATGGGGAGCTCTTCCAAACCTGAGTGCTGGAGAGAGAAAATCATGACATAAAGCCAGTCTTTGTTCTCTAATTTTTCTCTGTGTCTAGAGAGGGTCATATAGAGTAATCTGATCAAAGTAATGATTGGTAAGGAAGGAGAGTTTCATGGAGACCATTTCAATCTAGACTTTTACCAATATCTAGAACAGCCAGATGTTCCCAAAGAACTTTGCCCAAAGATTAGAGTAGTCAGGGCTCTTCATGCTGGCAAGAAGCTAAAAGCCATTTGAGAAGTAGGGTTCCCTGCTCATAAAAACTAAAAGCAGTTTCCTCAGGTCCCTTCTGGAACCTTAGTAAGGATTAGTGTCAGCCAAGTTTCCCTGGAGAATTTCCTGGCTTTGTTTGGGGGGCTGCCCGATGCTGGTCTCAGGCTCCTTTTCCTGACTTCCTTCTGTTTTCTTAGCCCTGATGCAGAGTTCCAGAATGTTACCAGCAATTGGTCAGCTGTGTGGGTCAAGATCAGCTCCAGCTGGGTCTGCCTCTTCCTCTACGCCTGGTCCCTTGTGGCTCCAGTTGTCCTCACCAATCGAGACTTCAGCTGAACCTCTGAGTGCCAGGGACACCACATAAAGGTTCCCTTTGCTGAAAGCCCTTGTACTTTTGCTTTAACTAAAATATTAAGTGAATGCTTTGCGAAGTTGACTATATCCAAGTGTATATCCCAAGGCAAGATTGAATTATGATTGATACAGGATCTGAATTTTTTATTTACATGTACATTGTTTATTTTTAAGGATATAGTACAAAGGGAGCATTTTTGCCTTGTAAAGTGAACTACAGCTGTGCTGTGAAGAGAGTTCTTTATTAAGACCTGTAGGTTCCTACAACTTTGATTTAAAATAGAAAATAGAAAAATATTGGATATTTGAGGCCATCGTTAATATATTTCTATTGCAGTATCCTTAAGGAGCAGGGAAAAAAAGTAATAATGTATTTCTATGACAGTTTTCCTCTGTGAAAGTCTTTACTTGTTGATACAAGCATTCTGTTCAGTCCGTAAACTCTTAAGAGGTATAGCATCATAGTAATTGGGCGAAGGAGTATGTGTGTGGGTCCTTCCCCAGAAGAGGGGTTGCTGATAGGGCTACTGCTTCTGCATCTTGAGACTTCATTTTTTTTATACTACAGCATTGACACTGCTCGATTCAAGTATGTGGCTTTGCCAGAACATTAATTTCAATAAATGCTTTGTAGGTTTGGTTAAAATGAGGACTCATTTAGGAAAAAACTGCAACTTTAGTCTATGTAATTATTTTGTTATGAGTATGTAAAAGTAACATGCATGTGAATTTACTATATTTGCACTATAAGGTATTTGATTAAAATAGACTTACGCTTTTAAGACCCTTTCTTTAACAGCTTTTATGAATTAGCAGCCATTCTATATTTTTTAGACTTATATAGGCAGTCAGATTTATCAGCAGAATGCATCTATTCCTTCTAAAACTTAAGGGCTGGTGAGTAAAGTCTTGAACTCATTCAAAAAGTATACCAATAGGTACCTTCTCTGGGCAAGGTGCTTGGGTAGGTGAGAGGCAGGGGCAGGGACTGGCGGGAACCCTCCGGGAGACGGAGCAGGCAAGGAGACAGAGGTCTTCAGGTTCTGGGGTACAGCTTTAAGAATGACAGACACTTGCTCTACCATCTTGACTCACAGTTTCCAAGAGGGTGAAAATGAGCTGACAACTGGTACAGTGTGGTGTGACTAGTCCTGTGACTTAGGAATTCAAAGGTGCCCAGGTGGGGGTGTCATGGTAGGCTTCCTGGAAAAAGTGATGTCTAAGCCAAGAATTGTTAGGAGTTAGCTAAGAGATGGGAAGTGGGATGGCATTGCTGGAGAGTAGACGAGTCTGCATGTTAAAGGCAGGGAGATTTTTTAAAAAATATTTTATTGATTTTTTTACAGAGAGGAAGGGAGAGGGACAGAGAGCCAGAAACATCAATGAGAGAGAAACATCGATCAGCTGCCTCCCGCACACCCCTCAATGGGTATGTGCCCGTAACCAAGGTACATGCCCTCGACCGGAATCGAACCTGGGACCTTTCAGTCCACAGGCTGACGCTCTATCCACTGAGCCAAACCGGTCAGGGCAGGGAGATTTTTTAAGACTTGTTTAGTAAAGCTGGACTGGGGAGAAATGGGCAGGGACTAGGTTAGGAAGGGCTTTATAAACCACACTAAAGAGTTTGGACCTTACGCTGAGGGCAGTGGGGAGCATATTCATAGTGGCATGAATAAATTGTGTCTTCATTCACTGTATACATAGAGAATGGGTTTAGAGAGAGAAACCAGGGTATTCCATGTAAGATTTGAAACAGAAGTAAACATGAGGATGGAGAGAAATTGACAGCTCAGTGCTGCTTAGTAATTAAAATTTAAAAATTGGCAGGTGATTAGATACGGGGGAGAAGTAGATTCCTGAGTGATTCTGGTTTAAACACCTGGGTTCGATATGTACATGAGGGGCAGGAAGAGGGTGTTAGAAGGATGGAGGTGTGGTCCCTTAAGAATGGCTAAGAGCATCTGCTTGGAAGTCTGATTGGGTTTGGATCAGTTTTGCCATTTTCTATTGTCAAACAGCTAATACTTATTGAGGATATACTAAGCTTTATGACCCTGGGTGATAACTATCTGCCTGAGCCTCATTGTTTTCTTTGTTTGAACAAAAGATAGTACCTAGTACATAAGATTGTTTAGAGAGTAAAGCTACTTTGTCAAGTGCTTAACCCATCTTAAGCACTCTGGTAGTAGCTGGTAATCTGAATATGGGCTATAAAGCTACTGGACAATATTCAAAGTCATAGATTTTCAGCCAAAATCTAGTGCAGGCTAGATTTGAGGTGTTCTTACAGAATTAAACACAGGGAACATAGAGGGCACACTCTCGGTTGGGGTGCAGGTGTGGGGGGTAGGGAAGCAGGGCTTGATAATAGGAATTGTTGGAACCACCATCTTTTAAACCAGTGGTTAATGTTGGGGTACAGAGATAAGGTTGTAAAGGATTTGGGGGGCAGACAGGGCAGGTTTAGCCCTTTTCCAGTGTAAAGCAGATACCCCACTTTCCTTAACAGCAGGGCCACCCAGATTAAACCCATTAAAGGTCCTAAACTTTAGAAACATGGTACACCTCCTTCCCCACCTTATATAATTCAAAATAAAAGCAATAAACTGTAACATAGGTTTAATAAAGTCCAATAAAGTTTTTAAATTTTTTATCACGATAGAAACTTTGATATTTAATTTAAAATAACAAATTATCTTTAAAAATTAGGGGGCAGTGTCCCTGCTGTGCATGGTTTTAAGTTGGAAGCCCAGTAGTTTAGCCAAGATTGAAGTGATTACACACGTGAGTGCTGAATCACAAACAAGCATAGACATCGGCATCTTACCTAAGCCCACGGTCAGACTGTAAAGCAGGGGGGTATTCTGAATCGTCAGACCTCATGGTGTCATCTCACCCCAATGAGTCGCCCAGTGTTTCATCACCACTCACAGCCCCATCTCTGTCTGTCTCCCAGGACTACCGATCAGGCCCTGGCTTTGAGGTCCGCAGTATGCTGTAGGGATTCATCAAAGGCAACATCTGGGAGACCTAGTTACATCTGGGAGAAAGCTTGTAGGCCCATCCTGGCTATTTACTTTCTAGGTGGTTGTTACAAGGTCCTCATTTCGCTGGGAAATAAAACTTTCTCTTGACAACCAAAGGTACTGCCAAAGAATGACCATGGACCTGGTTGTCAGTGCTTTTGATGTTCTGGACCCAATCCTAACTCAGGCTGAATTTAAACCAGGACAGCTTTTTGGTCCAAGTCCTTGCTTGGCTGTATTTTTCTTTTTACACATTAAGCTAAAATGAGTATTCAGTAATATGAGTCATGCATTTGATCTTTGCAGATGGATGGCACATACCAGGCTTGTGCTTACTAACGGGAGCAGCACTTCATCTCTTTACTCCTTTGTGTTGGTCTATTGTATCCATTGTGTTACCTACTCAGTGATGTTCTAAGTCCTGCTGGGTGACTCACCATGCGATGCCTGTAACCTCGGGTGAAGAACAGTCATGACTACCACATAAATACCTACATGTACCAAGCAATGAACAGGCATTGTCCACACCCCTGCAAGGTGGTGGTGATTCTCTCTTTTCTAGGTCAAACCAACGCTTAGAGAACTTAGTGCTCTGCCCTCAGTTACACAGAAACAAACCCCAGGCTGACTTAGTTTTCTTCGGTTAGGCCCCATTGTCCCTTGGCCTACTAGGATGTAGGAGACAAGATAAACTAGAGACTGCTTGGACCTACAGGGGAGTCAGCTGGCTCTCTAAGCTTACCCATCATTAATAAAGGAAAGTTAGTAATCCGCTAAGGCAGTAGCTAGTATCTTACTAGGTCACTGTATCCCTAATGGCTGGCACCTTATCAGGTAAGAGGGTGAACATTTAGTTAAAAACATTTTTTCCTAGTAAAGTGGCACCTTAAATGATTTTATTACTCAACTATAAATGCAATAATGTGAAACATTTGCTGCCATTTATTATAGGAATGCCAAACCAGTACTATGTAAAGAGTGGGCAGTAGGGAAACTAAGGTATTTTAGAAAAGAAACAAGAAAATGCTGACTCATAACATAGACAGTAACTCCAGTGGCTTATAAAGTGCATCCTAACTACCTTGTAACACTACTATAGGGTGAGAAGGGTTGGAGCCATTAGCTCCATTTTTCCAGATGTGAGAAACAGACAGAGCTTAAGCTCCACAGGTTCCTCCGGGAAGGCTGACCTGAAGAGCGATGTTGCAATGTGAGTACTTACCTGTCGAGTCATCAGAAGCCAACAGAGAATGTATGGACATCCTGCAGGAGTGTTTCTCAGCTGAGTCATCACCAACACACAAGACCCACTGTAGGGCCTGGGCTTTGTCTCTGGGGCAGAGTGCGCGCTCCTCTATAGAAACAAATGGGACAGGTAGAGGAACGGCTCAGCATGCAGAGGCCATTGACCAGGCCGTACCCGTTACCTCCCAAGGAGTCTGGGTTTACTTGTAGGAGCTTCTAGAATAATGTGTCCATTACAACTTGGGTGTCAGAAGTTAAGACACTCTGCTTTGTATTTTCTAAGAAGCCAAAAAAAATAAATAAAGCCGATTTTTAGACTGATGCTTCCTCACGCTAAAAGTTCCTCCCTTTTGTGTTCCATGCGTGGGCTGACAATAAGAATAAAAGAGAAGTGCACAGCCTAGCACCATCAGGAGAAAATAGTGGGCTGACTGCCTTGGCTTTGAATCCCAGTTGTACTGGAATAGCTGTGTCCTCGGGCAAAATGCTCAACTTGTGTCTCATTTATCCCACAGGGGCAATAATCCCGCTTCACTAAGGGTGCCTGACAATTAAATGAGATTATCTATGTGAAGGTCACCATCATGCTCAGCCCACTTGAGCTCTCAGGAACTGTTCGCTATCACTTAGAAGGATTCAGGGCTGGTCCAGAAAGTATATCTGGGCCTTGAGAACCAAAAAATGTGCACACTGCACCACTGGGCATCAGCCCCATCCTCCTCTCTACACACCGGTATCTTCTAGTTGCACGTGATCTCCAGCGCAGCAGCCCTGTGTCTGTAGGACGCACTGTGCTGTCAGTGCCCTCCGGCCTCCGCTGCAGGGAGGCTCTGCCGGGCCTGCACACCAGGAATAACAAAGCTTCAGAACTATAATCCAAGCTGCCATTGTCACAAAGTGACTCCACACACGTTCGTTCTTACAGGGATTTTTATTGTTGGAGACTCAGTCATGCATACTAAAATTACATGTTTTCACCACTTTGACTTAGAAAATGCATTAGAAAAATAAACTTTTGGTCAAAACAAACACCGAAGTAGATGAGTCCACCACCATGTGTCCCTATACTCAAAGCCAAACTGAATTTCAGTTTGAAGTGAGGAATGTGACCAGTGGCTGAATGGTGCCCCAATCTGGTCAGAAAGAGCCCACCTCCCACCCAGCAGAGTGGTGTCAGAGGCTGTTGGCCCCAGAAAAGTTTCAAGTATTTCACTTGTAACAGGTCCCACCTGATGTGCCAGGAGGCGAGGCACATCTGCAAGAACCCCCGAGGGGAGCTGACTGGCTGTCCAGCTGAACACGTGGCCCAGTGAGATGGAAGGAAAAGCAGCGAATTGGCAAACAGTAAATTCATCACTAGCATCTTCATCCACAAATCACACTGGGCTTCCCCCTGGAGCAAATGCCAAGGAGGAATATCTGACTGATGATGTCTGCTCCTTGTATTTCAAGCAAGCCATTTTTCTGAGTCCAGAAAGCAGAAAGAAAATGACTTGAAATTCACAAAATTAACAGACCCCAGTACCCAGGAGAGGAGTGGAGTGTGAGAACGGCCGTCACTCCCAAACAGTCACAATGTTTGGCATCTCCACACCTTTCATGCCACAGGACAGCCACACTTACACATTAGCTATCATTTTACTTCCTAAATGAAAGAGCTTTCAAAGGAAAACCTTAAGAGCTGAAAACTTGAAAGTGAGATATTATAATAATGCCACAGAGTACAACTTTTGCCTACCCAAATGGAAAAATAATCCCATGACCGGTCAGAATGAGATGGCATTTAAAGAAACTGCCCACCAGGGAGAATTCTGAGAGGCTCAATGTCTCACAGGAATTTAGGGGGAAATTCTCTTATTACCCTGCTACTTTTTGGCCAAAAAGAAAAATGTATCTTGTAAGCTAAAGTGTTTATAAACCTGAGGACAGGTGACTCCCTGTGAAAGCAGGATGAAACATGAGGGAGCTAAAGCCACCTTCACCAAGAGCAAATAAGAGGAAGCCAGGACTGCACTTCTGGCTGTTTCTGTAGATTTTTTCTGTAGATTTCAGCCTCTCATGAAGGCAGAATGGGATTCCAGGAAGAGACACATTTTTGTGGAGCAGTATGGGGGAAGGAGGAAGAAAACCCCCATATTACCTAAATCTACATTTGGAAGTTTTAGGTACTTCCTGAATGACCCAGCTGGGGGCGGGGGTGAGGGGCAGGGGCAGGATGATGGATGCTGGGAACGGAGGTTTCAGAGTCAGGGTGTGGTCCCCTTTTAGTACAGAATGATTCAGGGGTGTGCAGTGGCTCACCCAAAACCACACACCAAGGTACAGCTGGAACTCGGGTCTCCTGATCTACTCTTCCCTTCCCTACACTGCACACTACCCTGAATTGTGGGGAAAGTTCATTTTCGGGAGCCTGTGGAATGGGCTGGAGTTTTTTCCTAAAGGAAAGCACTCCCCGTTCTCCGTTCTCCACTGTTCACTGCTGTGCGGTCTGTGTGCCTCCACTAATGAGTGTGGCTCCCTGTGCGCTCCCTTGATCATTCCCATCCCCCTGCTGGGGAAACTGGAAATGCTTGGTGAAGCCAAACACAGACTGCCTTGATTTTCACCCAGGGAGGTCCTGGTTTCACAGCTTGGTTCAAACTCCTCAGGTGCCAAAACTATTGGATCCCTCTTTTGAGCCAAAACAAAGCAGCAGCTCTAAAAGGCAGGCAGACAAACCCTGGCTCTGACTCCTTTCAGAAGCTGAAACAGCTCCTGGGCTCAATTACAAAGGCCTGAACAGCATCCTTCCTGGTCTCTGAGATGCTTCTCTAGGTGAGCTTGGCCACTCCTATTGAAGTCATCTAGACAAAGGCAATGGAATGGAATGCAGTTTCAACCTTGGAAACTTGGTGGGGCTAAGCAACTCATTTCTCTCTGTCTAGCTGTTTTTCTCGCCACCCCCGCCCCCCTTTAAAAAAAAAAAAAATCTCTTTGGGAACTAGGAAAGCCTCTAACCAATTTTCCCATCCAGGCAGATGGGTCCTGAACCTCTACCTACATTAGCCACCCCACTTGTCCTGTTTAGAACTTTTCAGCAATGCTGGTCACACCATCACTGTCAGGCGGAACTAGAGGCAGCCAGGGGTGTGCATTTTGACATTTTCAGCTCAGCCAGGTCCTAGAGGATCCAGGGTTAGTATCTATGGTGAAAAGAACTTTCCCTAGAATTGGCACTAATGAGGTACATAACTTCTACCAACAACTTCTCCAGACTTTTAAAGTGCTATAAAGATGAACAGCTTATTTGCAAGAGACTGGCCTTTGAATTTCGGTGCACTGTTCACTTCCACCTTGCCTGGTGGCCTAATAAGTGCACAGAGAAGTTACACACACAACACATAGTACTTGTTACTTTAACATTATCATTTACATGGAATGAATAGGAAAGGAAATAGGTCAAAAGTCACGAGATGAACCACTAATATGACGCCTGGGCAAAGGCTAAATTCTTGACAGGATGAGTCTAAAGTATTGAAATGCAGAACAAACATCCAGTCTGGCTGGACAGACTAAAGTGTGCCCATCCACAACAAAGAGAAATTCCGTGGGTTTGGGAGGGCAGGGGCCATCAGAAGTGACCCAGCAATAACCTGCCCTTTATTCATTTCCAGAGACCAAAATTTCAGAATCCCAAGTAACTTAACCATTCCCTGCTGCCAGCTTTACAATATACCACCAGAATCTCAGGGATGGAATTCATACAAGATCCCGGTCATCTCACCTGCCTGCCCTCACAAAAGCCATTCAAGTTTAACCCTCACTACGAAAAGGAGGTTGGTATCACTGAGTTCCAGGATATACATACTTGTTTCTTTAAAGGCAGGGCCAAATGGTGACTGACACATGCCTCTTGGAAAGGCCCAGGTGTACCACGGAAAACAGGATCCAGCCACGTGCATCTAGGCAGCGGTTCTCAACCTGTGGGTCGCGACCCCTGAAAATACATCCTGCATATCAGATATTTACATTACGATTCATAACAGTAGCAAAATTACAGTTATGAAGTAGCAACGAAAATAATTTTATGGTTGGGGGTCACCACAACATGAGGAACTGTATTAAAATGTCACGGCATTAGGAAGGTTGAGAACGTCAGTGGTTCTCAACCTTCCTAATGCTGCGACCCTTTAATACAGTTCCTCATGTTGTGGTGACCCCCAATTTCATTGTTACAAATTGAACATAATTAAAGCATAGTGATTAATCACAAAAACAATATGTAATTATATATGTGTTTTCCGATGGTCTTAGGCGACCCCTGTGAAAGGGTCGTTCGACCCCCAAAGGGGTCGCGACCCCCCGGTTGAGAACCGCTGTTCTAGGCGGAAAAGCAATGTCTAACATCCAATAACTAAATCAAACCCCAGAACCTCAGCAGCCCAAAGGGCCCTATGTGTCATTTCATTGAGCATCATTTTACAGATGAGGAAACTGAGGCTCACAGAGGCCCAGGTCTTATCCATGGCCACACATCTGAGGCTGGAGCTCAGGTCTCTTAATTCTTAGGCCAGCATTCTTTTAGCTACACAGGCCTGGCCTCCAGTATTTTAGGTTGAATAAAATTATATACTTCTAGGACCTTGCATGATTCTATTGAGAACCAGGACTAAGGCTTTATGGATTTGGGAAAACTAGTTTCTACTGCAAGATTCAACCAATGAATCCCACAGGTGCTTGAAGTCTTGGCTCCCGAACTTGATCAGGAAGTCCCTGGTCAAGCTGCTGATGTCCCGCTGTGTGCCTGATTCAGACAAGGTGCTTTCCAAACCCATGATGGCAACAGGTACCTGGGCCAAAAACTTGTAGATTCCTGATGAGCAACAGAAGTCTGGAGTTAGGGTTCATGTGAGAGACACAAACTCCTAAAGTCTCACATGTGGCCACTATGCAGGCTGGACCCAAGTGTTTCACAGGAGTGTGCTGACTGGCCAATCGGGTTGTTTTCTCCTGAAGATGGGATCAAAGTGACTTTGGTCCTCATTCTTCCTGCTTTGAGATGTTTAAGAACCAGAAACAACTTCCAGATTAATGGTTGCAAACTGGGATTCCACAAATTTGGGAATCACTGGGAACGTTTTCCATGTCTTCATGGAATAATTCAAGTGATCCAGGGCATGCCCCTTCGCTCACGCTCAGCTTTTCCTCCATGCTGCAGCTTAATTACAAGGAGCAAGAATCCATGGCACCTAAAATTCTCCTGTGCCTCCCCAAAGAACAAAAGGAAAGGACTTAAAGCTGGTGGTGCTCACAAGGGACTGGCTAATAGCAGGAGTACAGCTGTGATTTCACAGCCCGCATGGAGTCATCACACTGCGCATCTGAGGCCAGCCCCTCGGGCAGCAGGGCCCGCCCCAGGATGCTGTCGCAGGCGGGGACAGGCTGGCAGAACTCTCTCACAAAGTCCTCCTCCGAGGCCAGCAGCACCGCGTTCCAGGCAGCAATGTCCAGCTCGCCAGCCGTGCCCCCGTACTCCTTGGGGAGAATACTTTTTGGAAGGTTTGTGTGGAGAGAGTTCAGGTCAGACCCGTGGAGGAAAAACTAGAGGGGAAGGAAATGAAAACACACCTGGCCTTAGGTTAATCAGTAATTCACCCACCTCCTTCATGCTATGTGCTCAAATATCTTGAATGAATAAAGGAATGGATGATGGCAACTCTACCCCTCCAGTTCCTTGAAAAGCTTGAGGATTCTTAATTTTCTTTTCTTTATATCAAGTGCCCTGTTGGCTGCTCCTACAAAATATACCCAGAATCCAACCACCTTACTGCCACCCTAATGGCACCATGCCACCATTGTTTCTACCCAGACTCCCACACCACCTCCTTCCTGGTCTCCCTGCTTGCACCCTTGTCCCACCACAATCTAAGCTCATTTCAGTGATGTCAGATCACGTCACTCCTCTGCACAACTCTCCAGTGCTCCCCTCACAGACCAAACGCCAAAGGCCATATGATCCAGCCCCCGTTACTGCTCTGCCTCCCACTTCTGCTTCCCCGCTGCTGCTCCTCCAGTATGCCAGGCGTGCTCCCACCCCAGGATCGGGCTGTTGCTGGTCCCAGGGATCTGTAAGGCTCATTCCCTTGCCTCTTTCAATTCTTTACGCAAACGCCAACTTCTCAATGACGCTACCTCTAACCACTCTATTGAATACTACAACCCTTTCCCCCTTCCCACACTCACTAACTTCTTTCACTGCTTCATTTTTCTCCATTGCACTCATCGCATTCTAATACCAGGTAACATGTAATTCGTTGTCTATGTCTCCCTAGAACAGGGGTGGGGAACCTTTTTACTGCCAAGGGCCGCTTGGATATTCATAACATCATTCTCGGGCCACACAAAATTATTAACTTAAAAATTAGCCTGCTATATTTGGTCAAACATTCATTTGACTCACCCTATTGCCTTGGCAGGGCCAGACCAAATGATTTTGTGGACCTTACACGGCCTGTGACCAGACGTTTTCCACCCCTGCCCTAGCATGTAAGCTTCCTGGGGACCGAGAATTTGGTCTATTTTGTTTATCTAGAACATACTCACATGTAGTATTTGATCAATATTTTTGAATGAATGAATGAACATGTGAAGGACCAAAGGAACAAGATTGTGGGCCACAAATAAGGTCATTTCACAGATGTGAAAAGAAGACTCGGCCCAAAGGCTGCTTTGGAAAAAGCAAGTTCCAAACAGGAGCTCCAGAAACCAACACAGGCTCAAACCCAGGCGTGGAGGCCACTAAGTTAGTGGTTCTCAGACCTAACTGTGCATCAGAATCTCCTAGATTTTAAAAGCACAGATTCCTGGGCTGTACCCCTGAGCTGATGAATTAAAACCTTCAGGGAGCCCAGCTGGTATGGCTCAGGGTTTGAGCGTCAACCTATGAATTAGGAGGTCATGGTTCAATTCCTGGTCAGGGCACATGCCAGGGTCGTGGGTTTGATCCCCAGTGGAGAGCATGAGTGTGCAGGAGGCAGCCGATCAATGATTCTCTCTCATCATTGATGTTTCTGTCTCTCTCTCCCTGACTCTCTGAAATCAGTAAAAATAATTTTTAAAAAGTCTTCAGAAAAAGGTCTGGGGATCTGGATTTTAAGTTCTCTCCCTTGCAATCTTGAGATTCTGTCTTTCTGTGCTTCCTCTTTGAAAAAAATAAAAATAAAAAATATATATAAAATTCAAGTCCCAGTCTTTGGAGTGATCACAATGTTCCTAGGCCTAGGGAGGGGAAAACTACCACCCACCATATTTCAATCTTGGTGCTGGAAAAGGCTCTCCCATCTTTTCAAGTGTCATTTACCCGTTCTTAAATAAGAGTTAAGCTAAAAGCTCACCTACCTCATAAACCTTGAATTATTCCACACACTTTATACAGCAGGACAACAGATTAGGTAGATGGGAAGGCTTAAATAGTATTTTGAAACCCAAGGAGCGGTAGTGAGAAATCTCCATAACTCTTCTTCACCCCCTGCCCAATGACGACCCTTTTCCATGTCCTCTTACATGTAAAATATAATGTTGGTTTACAATGCTCAGCCCAAGATATGAAAAAGTCTGATTGATTACAAAGCAGGGAAGCTCTTAGATAACAATCCTGGCTCTGCTCTATTGTCAAATGTTATATTCTTATTCATCTCCCCCTCACAGAAAGGACTGTTCACTGAACTTTCCAAATTAACAGTCCCAGGGCAAGAATAATAAACTAAGATAAGATTACTGATGTCACAATTAAATTTATAGATGTCACCAATAAGGAAGCAGAAACAAAATTAAAGTATCTTTAGTAGGATCATCACTTACTCTGTTTGCTATTTTCTCCTTCAGAAATGGTTTTATGATGGCAAAAATGCCTTTAAATATTCGAGGTTCATTCACGATATGGACCGCTTTTATCCGAATGGGGAAGCCATCCTGTGGGGGAAGGGAAGGGGATGTTAGAACACATGGAATATTTGCAAACTGTCAGTTACCACAGCCTGCCTCCCCCAGTGAAATCTTCTTCAGTCTGGTCTGATTCTCAAGGTCTCCTCAAAGAAACACAAGTAGGGGCTAAACAGGAAGGTAAAAAGTGGTCTGAGCCGATGTGGATGGATCTAGTAAGTATCAGACCTTCTGAATCAGAGTTGCCCAAAGTGTATTCCTCGGGAGGCTACCAGGTGTGATGTAAAAAAGCGTCCAGGCAGGTAAATGAGTTTGAGAAGTAGCAAACTGCAGGACTGTTCAGAGCCTTAAATGTAAATGTTTACTGTACAGTGACATTCACAAGAAAGGGACTTGCTTTACCATATTTCCCAAATTTTTTTAACCCTGGAATTTTGTCTCTCAGATCATCTTACAGGAAATAATAATCTAAACTCATTATGCTGACCCTTAAATCTACATGGGATTTAGCAGGAGGCATCAGAAGAGTGGAAGCCAAGGAAAGCCAGAGCGCTGCCTCAAAGCCAGAATTCAAACTTCTGATAATGACCAAATGTGACGTGGATGTTTACATACCAGCCTGGGGCACAGTAGGGCCTCAGACACATGGAGAACTGTTCTGTCTCTGGTCCCCGCAGCTCACAAGAGCCAGCACCCACGGGCTGGGTCAGAATGAGCTAGGAGTCAAGCCGGAGAGACTTGGGCCACACTGTATCTGCTAGGTCTGTTTCCCCGCCAACCAAAAAAGAAAAGTAATTCTTGACTTGTTTATCTAAAAGGATTCCTTGAATCACTGAATGGGTTATGATGACCGTAAAAGTGCTTTGCAAACCATTACACACTGTGAAGATATATAAGGAACCCGACGGTTCTCAGTGACTTGTGTTCTGAGACACAACTTGAGGGGTGAAAGCATCGGGCCAAACAGTCCAACAGTGCTTCCCATCCCCGGGTCCCAGGCGGCCGGGCAGGCTCTATCACCTTGGGCAGAAACACAATTTCTCAGTTTCGTTTGTTAGGAGAATTTCTCCTCTGTCTTTTTGACCAAAAAAAAAGAGCAGAAAGCATTTCTCTGGTTTTTGGAGTCTTGTCTGAAAGCTGATCTTGCCTAGATTAAAGGTACCTCAGAAACTACTGGAGACCCTCAGGGGAATGAGTGGTAAATAGAACTTTCAATGCTTTCGTATTTTTCTGATTGTAGGAGCCAGAAGTGGGGTGTGCATATCACATGGGTAACTGGACAGGGCTCTGGGGAAAGCCAAAACAACAGAAAGGCACACGACAAATGGGGGCCATACCTGAAGGATGCCAATCACCTTTTTGGCTATAAAAGGGCCAAAGTGAGATGCTTTTGATAAGCTCACTCCTTTGTAGTCTGCAAGAATTACAATTCCATTCACTTGGGTTTCTTCAGACTGAATGAGCTTTTCTAATGTCAAGTATATGACTCGGATGTTTTCGGTAATTGGATAGTTGCTCGGTATCCATCTGTCTAAGGTCATAAGAGATGGTCAGTATGTTACATAAATACATACAAACAATCAGACAGGCTAAGATTGATCTCTGTGCTAAAACTGTCCTTTAAAAACAGAAAGGCAAGATGATATTCTACTGGCATGGCTCTATTGAGGTTAGGAAATCGGACACCTTCAGCAGCAGCTGACATTTCTTAACTGCTGAAATGGAAATTGCAATTGTGTTGAAGTCAAAAGTGTGAACTCTGAAGTTACACCTTGGGCAAGTTACTTCCTTACTCTGAGTCCTCATCCCCTCATAAATAGAATGGGATAATAGGACTTATTTTATTTTTATTTTTTGCTAATCCTCACCTGAGGATATTTTTTCTATTGATTTTTAGAGCAAGTGAAAGGGAGGGGATGGGAAAGGGAAGAGAGAGAGAGAGAAACATCGATGTGAAAGGGACACATCAATTAGTTGCCTCCCACATGCACCCAGACCAGGGCCAGGGATCAACCTGCAACCCAGGTACGTGCCCTTGATGGCGCATCCCTTGGGTGCGCGGGATGATGCTCTAACCACTGAGTCACACCAGCCAGGGCAATAGTACTTATCTTAATGGACATCTATGCCTCTGCCATCAGATGTGTCCCTTTATCTTCAGGACATCACCCTGATTTTCCTTGGGGAACCACCTCTTCCCATGCTAACCATGCAGTTTGGGTAAAACTGAATTTGACTCCTGGCTCCAGGTGTGGGCTTGGTTCTGTGAGATGCTCCTGTCTCCTCAGACTAAATCCTCCCTTTTTTCGTAAGCCGGGTTGAGTAGGGTTTGTTATCCGCCATCAAAAGGCCTTGACTAACACATGGAGGGGATAAAAGGGAAAAGGAAAGGGGGAGAGGGGCTGGACAGACACATCCCAAACTGAGGCTGTGCACAAGCACCCCGCAACAGCCTAGGGCAATACCTGGGCGGATGCAGAGGATATGGCAGCCCCGCGGGTCTGTGTGGGGCAGCACGGTGAGGAATCCGGAAGCGAGGACATCTTTTAAGGCCGACGGCTTCAGGTTATGGAAGACTTCAGGCCAACTTCTCCTACAGCTGTGGTAGTTGATCAGGAGCTGCAGGGCCCGGTCATAATCAAACTTGCGGGCTCGGAGGAAGCGCAGCAGGAAGGCATCGTCCAGAGAGGTGCGCAGGTTCGGGAACTCCTTCCGCACCATGTCACGGAGGGCCTGCACGTCTCGAAGTCTCCATTCCGGCTTCTCCTGCAGCTCTTCCCTGGCCTTGGTGACCAGTTCTTCCGTCAGCGAGCACACATAGCCAGGAGGCTTGGGTGCTGGTGGCAGCTCATTTTCGGAAAGTGAGGCCACAGAAGGGCTAGTTCTCAGAGAGTCACTTTCTTCTGACATTAGCTACCAGGGTGCCTGTCAAAACAGATGCCCCAAGTGGAGTTAATAAAGTGCAGCATTATTAACTGGTCATCTCAAACCCCAGGGCAGCTGATGCGGGGGGACAGGAACGTTTTTGTTAAGCCAAGTAACCTCAGAGCACTGGGTCTCAACTGGGGTGGAGGGGTGACCTGGATCCGAAAGGCTGAATTAAGTTAGAATCGCCACGGAGGCACCCAGACCTACAGCAGGAAACATACACTGCTCATCCAACACCATGGCTTTGCTCACAGATGTATGCATGGATGCTTGATGTAACTCGTAATTAAAGAAATGTGAATTAAAACAACTCTGAAATTCAGACGGGCAAAATGCAAAATGGGTGCTCTGATATGCTTGCTGTTGGGAGAATAAGCTAGGCAGCCTCTTTGGATGGCAGTTTGTCACTATCTATCAAAATTTAGCCCTGGCCGGGTGGCTCAGTTGGTTAGAGTGTCGTCCTATACACCAAAAGGTGGTGGGATTATAATGGCAAAAAACTGGAAACACTTTAACTGCCTACTAGTTGGAGGCTGGTTAAGTAATATCACCATATGAATGGAATACTATTCAGTCATGGAAATCAGGCAGAACTTATAAGCTGATATGCTGAGGGGGGGAAAAGCAGTCGCAGAACAATGTATATAAAATAGTCGTGTTTGACCAGCAGGTGTGGTTCAGTGGTTGAGCATCGACCTATGAACCAGGAGGTCAGGGTTCGATTCCTGGTCAGAGTACACACCTGGGTTGCAGGCTCCATCTCCAGTAGGGGGCATGCAGGAGGCAGCCAATCAATGATTCTCATCATTGATGTTTCCAACCCTCTCTCCCTCTTCCTTCCTCGCTGAAATCAATAAAAGTAATTGCATTTATGTTTCTAAAATATATACATATATACACTTGTCAATACACCTAAAATTTCTGAGAAGAGATACAGGAAACTGTTGCCAGTGGTTCCCAGAGAACAACTGGAGAACTGGATGTTTGAGGCAGGAGAGGGTTTTTACTGTACTGTTTGAATTTTTTTTACCATATGCAATGTGACTTATCATGGTGGTCATGAAACGGAACTCAGCAGATCTCCTGCTGGGTGAAGCATAACTGACGGATGGCCCAGCTGCTTTCCCCCCGGATCCGCCATCCAGGGGATCCACACTTTGCACAGACTGGCCCCCAGCCAATGACTGAGACATGGGACTCCTCTACCAGGTAACTCTCTGCCTCAGGGACTCCCCATCCGCCTGGCTAGCCGACCCTTTCATGGACCTGCGTGCAGTCGGAGACTTACTGCCCAAACCTCCTCCACAGGGCCAGCTCCCCTCCCTCTATGCTTCATGGGCGTTGCTGCCAGTGGCTTTTTTGCGTGTCTAATCTCATCTTAGTTTCTGCTTCTTAGAAGACCAGAACCAACACACTTACCAAGTGAAAAGCAGAAACAAAAAACGGCTGCCTTAGATATTCCAAGAATAAGATAGCAGCAGGGCTGTCCAGTTCCAAAGCCCAAGCTCTTGTCCATGGGCTGCCACTGAACCCCTGGAGCTCGAGGAAGGCAGGGACCACCTCAGGGGTCTCTGCATGTAGCCAGTCACGCGCAGGTGCATGGCAGCTATTGTGACCAGGTTACTTCATTCCGTGCATTCTAGTCGCCAGCCCTACCCAGCCTTTTTCACTTCCTCCCAGAGGTGTTTTTTTGTCTTGTCACATCCTGTTTCCTCCAACTAATATGCTCTTCCTCTAGTTCATCACCTGACTGATTCATCCTTAAGTTCCCATTAGATGCCACTTCATTCATTCAACAAATATTGAGCACTTACTATGTGCCAGGCCCACTTCCAGGCACTGAGGATACAGCAGTGAATATAAAATCCTGCCTTCATTGAGCTTAGATACTAGTGTGTGTGTGTGGGGGGGGGGGCACTATAAGCAAAATAAACTTTATATTCTCCATAAGCACTATGGAGAGGGATAAAGTAGGAAGGGGGTTGAATGTATCTGGGGACAGGAGTTGCAATTGTAAATAGGGTGGTCATGGAAGGCCTCACCCAAGTGACAATGGAGCAAAGACAAAGGAGACGAGGGAGCAAGTTGTGTAGGTAGGTATCTGGGGGAACAAGGGTGCAGTCTGAGGCAGGAATCTGCCTGGCTTTTTCGAGGAACAGAGAGGCCGGTGTGGCTAGAGCCAAGTGAGCAAGGCAGAGAGTACTAGCAGGTAAATTTAGAGAGGTACCCACTGGACCAGAGCTTTGTAGGCCAATAAGGTTGCCCTTGAGTTTGGTGGGAGCCAAGAGGGTTTTGAGTCGAGTGACATGACCAGATTTATATTTTAAAAGGATTTTTCAGTTGTCTTGCAAATGGACCGGAAGGGGATGAGGATGGAAGTGAAGAGACCATTTAGAGGCCGCTGCACTAACCCAGGTGAGAGATGACGGTGCTTGAAGCAGAAGGCCTTCTCGGACTCCAGGTCGGATTAGGAGCCTTCCCACAGCTCTCTGACATAGCACTTCTCCCACGCCATTGTTGTCTGTAGGCAATTTGTGAGCAACATTCACAACTGTCTTGCTCATCACCTTAAACCCAGCACCTAACAGGGTGCCAGGCACACAGTCCGAGCTCCATAAATATTTGTTGAATGAGTTTAATCTGCTTGGCAGAGGTATGCTGAGCAAGGAATGGAACAAGCATAGATTCATAGGATCCACCCTGGGCTCTGTTTCCATGGGAGTTACCAACAGATGCCTGTAATCGCAATTCAGTGCTTACCCAGGAGGAAGACTGTCATGTCCACGTCCATGCCCCAGCTTCAGTGTCTTTCTCCGGCCCGTCTCCTAGTTTCCCACCTCTCAATGCATAGTAAATGCCAGTCAAAACAAACCAATGTCCCACCATTCTCAGAACACCTCATGCATTTATGATATTTCTGCCTGGAATTTCCTCTCCTTGTCTGTCCCCACCCAGACAACTCATCACGTTCCAGACTCAGCTTCAATGTCACCTCCTCTGTGAAGCCTTCCCTGGTTCCCTAGGGCGACTCCCTCCACTGTTCCGCAGCACCTATTTCTTTCAGAAATGGCAGTCCAGTGTTATGACATAAACACTCCTCAGGGTCTGCTTCACTAACCTTTCATTATCAAGTAATCACTGATCACCTACTCTATGAGTCAGGCACTGTGCTCACACCCACTGGGCATGCAACAGCGAACAATATAATTCTTTGTCTTAGGAAGTTTAACTTACAGTGAAATAATGAAGCGATAATATGTATGAGCATTTTACCATGCATCGAGCTTACCGTGGTGAATAAGAACTTTTCTTTTAATCTTCACTATATTTGGTGCCGGCTCTATTACTCCTCCCATTCACAATGGGAGGAAACTGCCCACTAGGATGTAAATTCCACGGGGGCAGACCATTTGCCTGGCATGTTCACAGATCTCCTCAGTGCAGTGGTTCTCAACCTTCCTAATGCCGCGGCCCTTTAATACAGTTCCTCATGTTGTGGTGACCCGCAATTTCATTGTTACAAATTGAACATAATTAAAGCATAGTGATTAATCACAAAAACAATATGTAATTATATATGTGTTTTCCGATGGTCTTAGGCGACCCCTGTGAAAGGGTCGTTCGACTCCCAAAGGGGTCGCGACCCACAGGTTGAGAACCGCTGCCCCAGTGCCTGGCCCTTGAGGGAGCTCAGCACCACCAGCGGCTGATGTGAAGGTAAGTGATGTGCCCAGGGGCACACACCCGGCGGGCTCTGCACTCCCCGGAGCCTCGGGCTAGTCTCCAGGGTCTGGGCAGTTGTCAGGCACAGAGCTGATGGGGGAACAGGGAGGACTGCAAACCCCACTCGTTAGGGTGGAGCCATGAAGCTTCCTCACCTGAGTCCATCACCCTGTGAGCACCACCTTCCTCCCCACGCCACCCAAGCAAGGAGAGGTCAGGATGCCATCGCTCCTGGGGCCCCACAGACCCTACGTCCCGTAGCAGCCTTTCGAGACCCCCACTTCCGGTTGTCACCCCTTCCCCAGGTGTCCCCATTGCCTGGGGTCTCGCTCCTCGAGTCCCCCACTTCCGGTTATCCCTCCCTCTCAAGGGTCCCTTCCCTGGGCCCCCAGGGCCACGGAGGG